ACCTCCAAAGCTTTGTCATACTGCTTGTTAGAAATACACAGTTCAGCTGCTATGTTAACATCTTCCATGGAGACTAGGCTCTGGTGTTTTGAGAAAGCTTCATCAATTATGTTAATAGCTGAAGTAACATCATTGGCTTCATAGTAACTCCTAAAAAAGTTAATTGGCAAAATGGATGAATACTTATTTAATTCTGATTATAAGACTCATTTCCTTGCTTAGGCCCTCTAACAATTAATTGTGGTTTTCATTTTCTTAAAATTTGGGAGGAGAAAATACTTGCTTCTTTAAAATCATAATCAGAACTAATCCAGAGAAAAATGTGCAATGTCAGTATAACAATGTCATAATTTAAGCATTTCACTCTCCAAAAGCTATCAGCTGTCATTCCACAGCTCATTCCCTCTGTAATCCAATATCAACAACTCTTCTACCTCAGTGCATTTACAAAGCACGGATCCTACTACTTTTTCACCATCCCCTACACCCTTCCTATCCTTTCTTCCTTCTCTGTGGTCCAACATTATAATTATTCCCTTGCATATATCCTCAATTCTCTTGCCCTGCTCTCCCTTTATCAAAATCACCTGATAAAACCCCAACCCTGGTTAAATCCATCTATGTGTACTCTTCACCACCACCTGCCCAGCTGGCCATGCCAAGGGGTCTCACTCCAAATTAATGACCAATAGCCTAGTGGGTCCATGGTGCTGACAAGCAGTATTACTACAGTTACCTAGTCCAGTAGTTCTCGAACTTGAATGAGTATACAGATCAACCAGACATATTGTAAAGGAATATTCTGATCCAGTAGAGCTGGGGCAGGGCTGAGAGGCTGTATTTCTGACAAGCTCCCAAGTGACACAAATGCTGCCAGTCTGGGGTAGTAAGATCCTAGACAACTGTTTTGCATCTTCTCCCTCAAATCTCCAACACTCTCCCACCCTCACACTCAGCTGATGGCCTTGCTTCATATTTTACCAAGAAAAGAGAATCAAATCAGACATCCCACATACTCCCAGCACACCTACTGACTTACCAGTATCCTTGGCCATATCCTCTGCCTTCCCCTTTATTAAGGATGAATGATCAGTATCCATGAGCCTAACCTCCAGCTAGATCCCATTCCCTCAAGGATATCGTTCAAGCAATTGTCCTTTCTCTCACAAATCTTCAATGTGTCCCTCAGTTTTGGATCACTCCCATCCAAATACTAATATATTGTAATTGTTCCCAACTTAAAAAATTCTCTTACCCCTACAACCCATTCCTCTATCTCCTTGTAAATTTCTCCTGTTGCCTATCCCCCACTCTGTCTTCAGTGCCTCTCCTCCCATTCTCTTTAACCCAATCCAATCAACTTCTCCCCTTACCACTCTGCTAAAACTTCTGATCTCCACATTGCTAAATCTCACTTCTCATTTCATGTGATCAAACTGTGGTATTTCACACAGATGATCATCCCTCCTCCTTGAAGTGCTTTCTTCAATACAATTCTAGAACTTCATGTTCTTTTAGTTTCCTCCTACTCCACTGGCCACTTTCTCTTAGTCTCCCTGCTGTTTCTTCCTCTTTTCCCCTCACTTCCAAATGCTGACATACCTCAGGGTTCAGTCCTTGAAACTTTTCCCTCTCCCTCCCCTTCCTTCTTTCTTTCTCCTTCCTCTCTCTCACCCCTGCCCCCCATATCCAATACATTAGAAAATATTGAGCGCTCAGCCTTCCAAATACATCAAAATATATCCAGAACCTGATTACTTCTCATTACTACCTGCTACTTCTACCCGGGTTCAAGCTACCATTTTCCTTTCTATGTACCACTGCAATAATTTCCTAATTGGTCTCCCTGCTTCTGCCCTTATCACCGATCAATCTATTCTCAAAAGAGCAGCCAGAATTGATGCATTTAAAATTTAAGTTGGATCATGTTACTTTTCTACTCAAAACTCTCCAGTGACTTCCAAACTCATTCAGAATAAAAGCCAAAGCCCTTACAATAGCCCACAAGGGCCAAACTATCTGTCCTCTGATACCTCTCTGCTCTGTTCCCCTTAATCCTTCAGCTCCCATATTATCCCTAAACATATCTTTGTACCTACCATTTCCTTTGCCTGTGATACTCTTCCCTAAATATCCATTCCCATACCTCCTTTAGTTCACGTTTAGTCAGTATGACCATAACACAGAAAATTAAGTCCTTCTCTAATCTATTTTAAGATAACACACTCCCATACCTCAAATTCCTATTCCCTTTCCCTGCTTTTTCTTCATATCACTTAGCATCTGACATACTACATATTTAGCTGTTTACTGCCCATCTCCCCCACTGGAATATAAGCTCCACAAAACCAGGGGATTTTTAAAAATTGTTCAATTCTGGATATCCCAGTTCCTTATCCAGTACCTAGCATAAAAGATACATTGAATAAATGTTTCTGGAGGGAAAGCAGGAACTGAAGGGAAAGCCTAATCAGAAGTTACAGTCCAGAATCCTATGCAGGAAAGACTTCTAAGGCAGTGGCAGAACTGACCGTCACCACTCTTCCCCAACAAAAGTATTATTAGTGAAAAACAAAGTTACTACCATAGGCCACCTAACAGTTTATAAAGTAGAAGCTTACTGGACTAACCACTGTGAAAGCTAAAGATTTAACTAAAAGCAGGTAGCCTGGGAAGATTCTCAGTGTTCATGGTATACTATCAGGGATCAACTGGGGGTTGCCTTGTCTCAACATATTTCCTAAAAATGCTTCCAGTGTTCCTATATAACTCATCCCTGGAAGGTAGGGGACAATTTCACAGCTAAGCATCATCATAATAAAGGCCATGGAATTAATAGGGTTCATATAATGTACCCAGATCAAGATGATTAACCCTATACTGAAATACTATATAATAGATATCCCTAGAATAGAAAGCATACCACAAGGCATTACTTAGCCAAAATGTTTCCTGCTTTGTTTTGCTGTGCAGCATATCAGAGATGTAAATGCAGTAGGGCCTATTTTAGAATAAAATATATAGCACAGTCAATAACATTTGACAACTATAGTAGTCTTAGTCTTAAAACTATTATTTTAGCACTGGCTCAAGATAAAATGATT